GCGGATTTCCGGCGGATTTGGCCGCCGGAAATAGTGGGTTTTTTGGTAGTGTTTACCGTATACAAATATTATATACTCAAAAAAATATGTAACATTTTTATCATGAAATGAATTGTTTGAAACAAATTCATCATATTAAACAATTTTGTGAATTTTTTTTTCACTAAGATAAACAATGAAATTAACGGTTTTCATGGTTTGTACACACACATACACACACACACACACACATATATATATATATATATATATAGACGAATGATCGTGTAAGAAAGAAAGTTATGATAAGAAACATAAAAATAGATTTGAATATTGATCACTTTTAATCTCATGTCTATTCATGACTTGTGCTTTATAAGGAAATTGATCTGGTGCATCTCCATGCACCTCACTAGTGTTGACATTCAATTAAAATTGATCGAAAAATGAAAAAAAAATTCTTACATTTTTCACCATAACTTTCATTCTCACAAGAACTCAACTATATATATTATTTGTTTTATTAAAGAGAACCACCTTTCACAAAATTCATGGATCCACCCTTGGATCATATCGTGATTACGGTGAAAAAAGTAAAATATATTAACAATAATTTTTGGTCATTGAAATAAAATAATTATTTTATTAACCGTGAGTTTTTATTAAAGATGGATTTAATAAGGTATCAAGTTTTAATCAATATCGTATACCAATAAATTATAATTGATATACAACTTTATATACTGTGTATCAATCAAATGTATCTGGTATTAACATCTTTCGATTGATACATGTTGATAATAGTTTTGTACAACTTTAAAATACAGATATAAAACTTACCATTTTATTTAAATTTTGAGTCACAATTTAAGCTTCCAGGTAACAATGTTTAGAGATTCTGATGGGTTGTTTGTTTATCTTTTAATAGTTCCATTAAGAAGTGAATCTTGTTTGACAAAAAAAAGTGTCCCTTAATGATTCTAAAACCCTCTGAATGATTTTCTATACGTAGGATCTCCCTTAACCATTAAGAGCCCTAATTTCATTGTACACAATTACCAAACAATTATATTTCATTTTGGACTGTACCATTAGAGCTTCTTAATCATTTTAACCACTTAATCATTTTGTACAAAATCATTCAAGAATTGTCAAACAACCCCTGAATTTGAGAAGAATAAAACTTATAAATATTTAAATATTTTAAAAAATAGTTAAAATTATAATGTTTAATATTTGATTGATAAAAATATACGAAAACTAATAAATAACATAATATTTTTTGTAAGACCATGTGATGCATCCGGTTATTCCTTTCTCTGTTAATGCATCGATTCCATTCCGGGTTTGGCACCACTCATCGGTGGAATAGGATTCCCTAATTCCGGAATCGATTCAATCGCCAAATCCGGTTCTCAATGAATTTGGAAGGCTAGAATCAGAAATCCAATTCCGCCGTCTCTCCACCATCCCTAATCCGTCGATCTCCACCAACGACCACAGCGGAAGCCTCACTTTTCTTCCGTTAGCCTGCTGAAATCTAGGCCTGTCTATCTGGTAGCCTCCTCCCTCCTCTTTACATGTGTGTGTGTGTATATATATGTATATATGTATGTGTGTATGCGCTCGTATATCTACAGCGTTTCTTCTAATGGCTTATAGTTAAAGCAATATAGTATATTTGACCTCCATTTGCTTGTTATATGATTTATGATGGTGTAAAATTGTACTCTCTCCGTTCCAGAAAGAAAGCATAGGAATCAATTCAACTTTTATGTTTTTTCTTACTTAATTTGATATTGACTCTTCATTTTCCCCATAGTACAGAGGTATTGCAGAGAGTGAAAATGTCCATGTTTAAACTTTTTCAGTATCAATGTCAAATTTGGCTTCCATAACTATCATGATATCAAAAGCTGCCATAGAAACATTTAGTTTGATTGTATTTGACTCCGAACCACTAGGTGGTAAATGACATGAAGCTCTCAGTTTCATATTTTCCATGACCTTTTGAAAAAAAAGTCAAAAGGTGCATCTTAGTTCAACATTCATATGAACTTGTTAAATTTTGGTAAAATGATGATAACCACACTACGATTTTGACGAGTATTGTAAATGTAAAATGTTGTCGTCGAATTGGTAATCTGTATCAACTTTGAGTTTGATAAGTACTAGTTTGATCTCAAAAATCACATTAGTCCCTCTTTGTCTTGTGTTTAATTTTGAATGCTTGCAGCTAACTAAATTGGGTCATCTTGTTGGGAATAAATTTTTGAAATGGAGGAAATTTTGTTGTTATAAGATACAACATATAGACAATATTTAGTTGTGGTGGGCATGATTTGCATATCAGTGGTGGAATAGTGATTACAAATATGGAACACCTATTAGACTAAAGAAGACACATAAATATGCATTTTACTTTGTTAATCAAGGGAGTCAAGTTCAAAATGTGCCGAGTTAGAAAAGACCACTTTTTGAAGCTTAATCACAGCTTGAAGGCCTTGTGCTTCTGAAAGAAGCCTTGTAGTCAACCAAAGATGGAACTTTTTATATATATATTTTTCTAAAATTATTGTATTCTTTAACCAAGTTTAAGCAACCACCTTCTAAAATGTCTCGGTTAACTATGGATGTTGACAAAATAAAGCCTTCTACTTTGAATAGCCTATACTAATGTGTAACAAAAACACAAAGCATATTGTGGTTCTCAACCCGCATAAGGATTAATTAAAGAATATAATCTTTATTTGTTCACTCTTCGATTGATGCTGATGGGCTCACTCTTCAGTGCCCTTTCCAATCTTCTTCCTCTTTAGATAAAAATACAATTGTACTCATATTATGCTAGCCACTATACCTTCTTCCCCTTACATTAAGTTGCAGATTCTGGTTGCATTTTGGAGCATATTTTCATATCATCTGCTCCACATGAAGTCATTGTTACATTTCATATGATAATAAATGTGCTCATATATTTTGGGCTTTGCTAGGAATGGGCAGAGTGCCTGAAAGAGGTTCCAAAACCAAAAAACATAAATGGACTAGAAGAGAAGATGAAGCACTGATTTCAGCACTCACAGAGTTATGTCAAACTGGTTGGAAAAGAGACAATAACATCTTTAGGAGTGGTTATACAACTGTCCTGGAGAAAGAATTGAAATCTAAGCTTCCTGGATGTAATCTCAAGGCTAGTCCTCATATTGAATCAAGGCTCAAAACATTAAAGAAGCACTGTGATGCAATAACAGATATGAAAGATGCATTTGGTATAGAGTGGAGAGGTACAGAGTGCACATTAATATGCTATGATGATGATGTATGGGATGACTGGGTGAAGGTAACCACATCAAACATATTCTTATTTGTTTTTTGCGCGTAAATTCTTATATGTTTCTATATCCATTATGGTGTTGTAGGATCATTCAGATGCTAAGGGCTTGAGAAATAAGCCATTTCCTTATTATGATGAGCTGTGCCTGATATTTGGAAAGAGCAGAGGCAATCAAAAGAGTGTTGAAGATGCATCAGATGCTAACAGAGCCCTGGACGTGTATGAGACTAGTGAAAATGCTGGTCATATGTCAAGAGATGAACAGTTTAATCCAATATACAGAACTAACGGAAAAGTGTTGGAGAATGAGAACAATGAGTCTGACCACGAAGAAGCAAACAATCATAAAGGGAATGACATGGCGGTTGATGATTCAAATGATGATGATGTTTTGGTAGATGATGTTGTAGGAACTCCAATGCAGATGCATGGGTGCTCAACATCTCCACAGGTTACAAACAAGAAGGCTCAAAGTATTGGAAGTTGGTCGACTGGAATGGAAGCGTTAGCCAAGATTTTTGACACCATGCTTAAAAGGCATGAGGAGCAGTTTTCACTTCTGGCTGGGCTAGTGGGAAGAGAGGTGGCTGCAGATAAAGCAGCAGCTGATAAAAGAGCAAGGTTAAATGGAGAGTTGAAGAGAATACCAAATCTGAGTCTACAAGCACGACTTCGAGCAGCATCTGTAATCGTCAGTGATCCTGCCAAACTTGATCTTTTTTATAGTCTTTCTAATGAAGAAAGAAAAGAGTGGGTATCAATGTTACTTTCAGGCCTTATTTAGCCTCATAGGAAGGTTGTCATGAAACTTTTTTCATTGACAAATTAGTTAGAAAGTTCTCTTTAGAACTCATAATTTACTTTGACGAAATGCATGCTTTCATCACATGTCTAATGGCTGTTCCGCGTAATTGATTTTATCACCAAACACACACTTCTCACAGTTAGCTTCGAAGATTTCCCTATTTATTTTATGTGTACACCTGAAGCTTCACAACAGAGATAAGTATTAGAGCTTCATGGGAACACAAAAGATATTGCCAGTGTTACTTATCTTTCAATATTGGATGTCTTTGTAAATTATAAAACAGTGCAACCTTATTTGCCAATGTCTGAATCATTTTTTGAGTTTCAGTTTACATAACTTGTCTTTTCCTGAATTTTGAGCTGTATTTGTTGAAGTCAGCAAGTCATGTTAGTGTTAATTGTAGTCCTTGAACAGTATTTATCATCATCAGTATCTATATAGTGTCTGAAAGTCATGGGTCATAAGCAGACATTAGTCCATCCTTATCCTAGCAGCACGAAAATTGGAGAATCTGAGTCGGAATAAATTGAAAAATAAAAAGAGTTTACTTTCTTACTTTTGATGTTGGGAAGCAATCACATGATACGCAGGCAATGAAAGACAAGTGGGTATATTAGAACTGATTTGAATATGCCATGTTAGCATATTACAAAATCCTTCTTGAACGGTTTACAAAACAACCCCTCCACCTTTCGTTAACCTTGTTATCTTTGACCATCAATCTTTGGTTCATATCCTTGATGCATTATTTAGGTATAGTTTCTATCCCTTATCTTATAGCCATGTATACACACATACTCTTCTCTTCTTTTATCTGTAGTCTTACGCTTGCTTCCATTTTGACTAGTTTACACTTTTTTGTGTTCATTACACTGCAACAGCCATTTATAATCCAAGTAAAATTCAGAATCTGTTACTTAAACAAAGTATGTAATATATATAAAACCAAATCTGGTAACATATTATTTCCTTAGGATACCACCTGATTGTATGAGGCTTGTTTTTCACTGCTTATGCATTTGATACATATATACAAAGGAAGAAAGTACTGATTCAAGAGAGGTAACTCAAGGTACTGCCAAGCTACTAAAGCACACACTTACATTATATGATTGGTTTTTTCATTGTTCACTCATCATCGAGGCTCTTTACCCTCCAAAATTGCTTCCTGTAACCATGATTCATGCGATTGGGGATGTGATGGTACTCTAGGCCATTTCTGTAATTGTTATGCTCATGGCTAAATGGATTCCCATGGCCGAATGAATTTCCGTATTTTTCTGTATTTGGCAGTCCAGTAGCAACCACTCCACCCCCAGGATGGTGGCTGTCTCCATTGTCATAGCAATTAGCAACAGTGGACCAAGCAGCAGATTCGTGGTGCTTAGTATGGGGAATCGACACTTGAGGATGGTTGGAGTATGGAGTCGTCTGTGTTTTTAGGCCCCAGACATTGTTGTAGCTACCATCCTGGATGTTCTCATGGTACCTTTGGTATATGAAAATGATTTCCTGCTGTGCAGCACCAGGGCAGATTACGTAGGCAGGAGGACCAATGAAACGCTGACGATCCATCGTATTGAAGTAGGAAGTTTCTTCAAACTCATCCATGCTATTTCTGATGCTTATTTGTTGCTATATTTATAGGGGTAGCTGGTAATTCCAAATAGAAAAGAAGTTGCATTTCTTGTCTAATCATGGAATCGTCGTAGCCCAGCAATTCCATGTTGATCGTGGGTTAAAGCACCATAAACTTAATATTCTTATTCTCAACTTGTAAGATGTCTAGTGGTTCTCTAGAGAAGTAGAGATGCTGATTTTGATTCCCAAATATAGTTATATCCAAACTCATAAACTTTACAATTTCTCCTGGTAAACATCATGTATTGCAATCTTGTCCCAGTTATTTTTACTACATCTTATCCAATGTCCCAAATTGCTTGTATTTAAGTAGTTAAAAACATTCATTCTCAATTCCTTAGTCTTACTTTGTATTGTTTACTGTTTTCCCTCTACTTTTCTTATCATTTCTGTTGTGTGTGTTTTTCCTATCTCTTATTTTGGTAATTCTAGACCACAATCACCAGAGACTTTAGGATGAATTTTCAGGTTCAACTGTCATTTTGTATTTTTGCTACTGGATGCAGGTTGAACTGCTTCAGAAGCCAAATTGCACAAATGAACTATATCACGAGGACTGTTTTTCAACGATAACTGGAGCCACATTGACGGCAATGGAACCAAAACTAAAATATGAAGGTATGGGATACATAGGGAATCTGATTATTGGTAGTTGCATAGAACCTCTGAGACTAGAAGATAAAATTTGTATACCAGATCATGAGTGGGTAGAAAAGTGTGATTATTTGGGGAATTCTAAAAATAAATGGAACTGCAATTTTCATGGGACATTGCAAATTGAAATTTGTTTTGCAGTTTGATGGATGAGGTGGAGGGGTTATATATTTGCAAACTTTGTGTTTGCTTTGAACTCTAAAATGCATTTTATTGGCTGTTGCTTATATTGCTATTTAGTTTTATTCGAATGTCTTGTCTACAATGCTATGCTATTCTATGATTCAATGTTGAGAGTTTTATCTGTTATTCCGTTTTAGAAGTCTTGATCTATTTGGCCATGTAAATATCTTGATGGCCTTGTCCCGAATCTGATGCAATCTTTTAGAAAATTCATGATCTTGTTAGTGGCCTAAATCATCTACGAATGGGAATAGAACCCAAAATAATCATTATATAGATTTTGTCTTGAATCCTTGGAAAGACCATGAGTTTGTTGGCGAACCATTGTTATATGCCGATAAAGATAGATGAAGCAGTCGTTGACATTTATTATTCATTGCTTATGCATTTTGATACATATGTAGTAAAGAAGAAGGTACAAACATTATTAAGAGGTAACTTGGAGCTACCACCAAGCTACAAAGTTCACACTTTCAGTCATATGATTGTTTCTTAATCTGTTCATTCAGCATCAACGTTCTTCAGCGTCCAAGATGCCTTTTGGTAACCATAGTTCATGCCACAGGGACTTTGATTGTAGTTTACACCATTCCCATAACTGTTATGCTCATGGCTGAATGAGCTTCCATGGCTGTGTGAACTCCCATGGAAAGAACTTCCATATTGTCCACCGCCAGGGTAGTAGCTGGCTCCATTTCCATGGTAGCCAGCACCAGCGGACCAACCAGATTGGTGGTTCTGAGGATTTCCTGATGAGTAAGTCGACACTTGAGAATAGTTGGAGTATGGAGTCATGTGCCCATTAATGGTCGAAAAGTTGCTGTAACCGCCGTCCTGGATTCTGCCACCGCTCTCCTGGTTCGACCAGTAGCTTTGTTGTTGGTATGTTGCAACAGGCTGTTGTTGGAAGGAAGCATCAGGGCAGCGCTCGGTTTGGAGAACCATTTTCTTGAATAGAAGGTTTATTCAAACATAGCCCAGTGGCTGATGCTTATTTGTTGCTATATTTATAGGGGATCAGGTATAGTTGGTGATTCCATATAGATTAAGAAATATATTTCTTATTGTATTGTGGAACTATAGTAACCCCGCAATTTCAATGATGATCATGGATCAGGGATCATTTAATATATTTATCGTTAACTTGTAAGAAGTCTAGCGATGCTTTATAAGATTCTGGTTCTGATATTCAAATATAGTCATATCTGAACCCATAAGTTTTTAGAACTTAAACACATCATGCATTCAAATCTTGCCCTTGATTATTAGGGCATCTTATCTGAATGCCACTTCCCAAATTGCTTCAACTTCACTAATTTAAAGCATTTATTCTCACTTCATGATCTTCCTTTGCGGTTCTTTTTTTTTTCTTTCTGTTTTCTTTTCTTTTATCGAAAATACTATTATGTGTTTCTGCTTTCTGTGTTGTCTTTTGGTTATGTAGAACATAATGATGAAATTGCGCCAATAAACGAGGACTGTTTGACAATATCCCTAACCCGCTTTGACTGCAACGGAAGCAAACTCACATGGCAGGTATGGGATCTATACGAATCTCATTGTTACTATTCTGCTTGATAGTTCCCAAAAAAACTATATGAGACTAGAAAATCTAAGGGGTTGGTTATTTACTAGCTGCAGAATGCCTCTTACTGGTAAGAGTTGCTTACGCGGTAGGAAGGGATGCTGTTTACCTACACACTCTGAAGTCTGTCCCACAAATAAGGTTGGTTACTTATACTGCTCTAATTTATCCGATTCGAGTGCATTTTGTTCTATGATTTCATGTTAGAACTCTTTTGTGTTCTTCCATGTTAAAAAGTCTTTGATCTATTTGGCCATGTCAAAAGCAGAAAACATAGTGGACTTGACATGAATCTGATGCAATTTTTTCTGAGTTTGACCATTATCATCTTGCTAGTGAATTCAATTATTAGGGAACTAGATTCTAAACCCAAAAACATATTTACATAGTGATGATTCTAGATTTTATGCCTCATTGTAGATCTTCAATTATCTAATACACAATGAGTAAAAAGGGGTTTTCTCCTCCTCCCTGTCTCCCTATTGAGAGTATTATTGTAAGCACCTTTTGAGGGAGAAAAAGGTCTGTTCTGAGAGATGTGGGTTCAAATGAAATGTTAAGGAGTCATTTACAAGTGATTTCAGGGGACACGCGGAATATTTCCGTTTGTTATGGAGGCGCTATTACACGTAGGTGAGATGACTCGCTTCAGGGAACATTTATACGTTTAGTATATGGACAGGACCGGATAGGATTGGAAGGGGATAGTGAGGTAAGCGGGTGAAAGAATTGTGGAAGGTGTTAGGGTTTTAATTTGACATAATTACAGTAGTAATTTATCAATATGATCTTGGTAAATGAATCCTATTACCTAGTATTGTTTTATCTTTTTTTTAGTTTATATAATATTTATATAAGGTTAAATGCATGAAATAGCAATCTACTTTCATAAATTTTCTTATTATAGCATTCTACTTTTGTTTTTCTTTATTACAGCAATGTACTTTCAAATTATTTTTTATTAAGACATTGTACTTTAAAAAATCTACCCATTATAGCAATGGGTAACCTGTTATCTTTTAAACCGGTTAACCCCTTTGACTTTTTTTGCTTGTGTGGCTTTAATGAGGTGATGTGGATGACACATCATTTTGATGACTTAATTAAAATAAAAATAAAAACCTATTGCAAATTATTATTAGTGATTTTCATTTTCCATTGCTATGATTTAAAAAATATTTAATTTTTTTGACTTTTTCTTATTAAGTTGCATGCAAATTAAATATTTTAGAGTAAAATATTTCTTAAATAAATATGCTACATTATTTTCGAGATATATTTTGTTTGTAAAAAGGTAACACTTCTTATTTTATATTGTTAAAAAAATACATATATTTTAAAGTTCTCTCTAAAATGTTAACGAAATAAATTGTGTTCTACAATTTTTTAATATTGTTATATTAATAAATAATTCAAAAAAATCTAATTTATTTAATGTATTTATACGTCAAGTAAAAGTTTTTGAACAAATATAATATATATTCTTTAAAAGATAATATTTTTTGGTATAAAAATAACAATTCTTATTTTTTTTTAATCAAAAAACACATATTTAAAAAAAAAAATTAGTGTGATAAGTTATCTTTTACTAGTGTTATTAATATTGGTATATTAATGAATAATCTAGAATTTTTTAGTTCATTTAATATATTTATTAAATAACATGTAAAATATCTAAATATTAAAATTAAAAGTATATTGTTAAATAAGAACTAGTAAATGTTATAATAAAATAATTTTGAAAGTACAATGTTGTAATAAGAAAGTCACATCACTATAGTACATGTGGACAGCCTACATGGACAATGAGGTGGCATGAAAACTTGGTATAATGGGTAAATTTAAATCAAAAGGTTACTCAATGCTATAATGGGTAAAATTTTCAAAGTACAATGTTCTAATAAAAAATAGTTTGAAAGTACATTGTTGTAATAAGAAAAAACTGGAAGTACAATGCTATAATAAAGAAATTTATAAAAGTAGATTGCTATTTTGTGCATTTTGCCCTATTAAATGCAACAAATAAACTTACACACCCTCCTCACCTTTGGTGAGGTTTGAACCTCTGATCTTCTAGGAGGCCAAAATGTACGATACCGCTAGGCCAAAAACCCTTTTGTAATATTGTTATATCTTATAATCATGTTAATTAACATGAATTCATTGTCTCATATGTTGATCATGCAGGAATAACCTCAAGTGGTCTGTCAACATCCTGGCTACTTATTTTGTAGCAATGCCACCAAAAGTTGTGTTTGTCGTCTTGCCAAGGTAAGCCTCCTCGTTGCTTCCGGTTGTTAAATTTTAGGTTTTATTTGTTTTGTTCGTTTGCTAACGACAAGGGTAAAATGCATCAAAATGTATTGAAGTTTTTCTTAAGGTCTATTTGTTAGCAGCTTAATGTGGTTTAAAACTTATTCGGTCACATGATTGTTTGGTAGTGACTTAATGATATATAAAGTAGTTTATTCTGTAAGCATCTAGGACAAACTTTATGGAGAATGCCAAGTTTTTTTCAAATCTGCTCCTCCCAATTAAAAAGCATGCTCTTTCGGTTTATGAAAAAACTATTTTAGACAAAAACTTTTCCAATCTATACAGACAGATTAATTCGCACGTACAGTTTTATCTAGGACTTAATGGAAAACCAACCGAACAACCATTGGTTTCTATTCTTCTTCTTTTTCAGTAAAAAATGTTCAATTTTTATTATTTTTACATATTTTACCCGATAAACAGTGTTTTAGCCTAAGGGGCCGTTTACCAAACACTTACCCGGTAAACATTTACCGACAAAATTCAATACTATTGTTAACTTACTGGGTATGATTTTAGTCAACAAAAACGGCTTTCTATGCAACAATTTACCCGGTAAGAGCTGACCGTGGTAAGAGTCATTGTCCTCACTTACCGGGTAAGACTCTCAGTCCTTGTCTTGTTCTTATCGGATAAGATTTTTGGTTCTTACCATATTCATCCGGTAAGGTAATATAACTTGGTAAGCGCTTACCCAATTAAGCATTTGGTAAACGGCCCCACAAAACAAACTTTGTTAATTTTTTATACAAATTTACATTTTTGCCCTTAACTATTGAAAATATCCATAAAAGAATATGACAACCCATAAAACTCTCACTTTCTTTGTATACTCCGCCATTAATGACCTCTTATGAACTTGCCCTTAATGGTTGTTTGCCTACATTCCAAACCAGGCCTCCACCAAATACTTGATTTCAACTGATTTTAATTATGGTTTACAAATTTAATAAAGGGTATTATTGACATTTGATTATTAACAAACGCTTTTACTTTTTTTTAGCATGTTAAATGAAACGTTTTATTTTTTGAACGAAAAGATAAGCAGGTATTGAGAATAGTTCTTTTTCTTCAGCAGTGACCAAATATTCCTAGACATGTTTTCGTTCTTTGGGTTGCCATAAAACAGCGTCTTAAGACGCATGATAAACTTTGGTTTTAGGAAGTCTTATCTAATCTGTGTTGTGGTTTATGTCATAATGGGTCTAGATCTCACAAGCATCTTTTTTCTTTGAATGCTCATTCCCTAATCAGGTATGGAATGGTCTTAAATCCAAGTTGAACCTTCCTAATTTTCTGGATGACTAGACTAACATCATGAGAGTTTTCCAACAAGCCATAAAAGGCAAGACCATCTGGTCTATTATTCGCAGATTAGTGCTTGCTGGAACCGTCTACCATGTTTGGCAAGAAAGAAACGACCGTATCTCAAAAATAAAAGAAGATCTTATGACATGGTGGTGAAGCCCATCTCTGATGATGTCCGGTCCAGGCTGATTGGCCTTACCATGAAGCCTTCCCTGAACATTGTCCGTGCTAGGCTTGTCTGGAACCTTCCCTAATAGTTGGTTCTTTTCCCCTCCCCTCCCTCCCTCCCTCCCTCCCTCCCTCTTCTGAGATATGCTCCTTTCTGGTGGTTGCTTCGATTTAGTCTCCACTCAAGTGTTGGCCTTGGTTTTATTTTTATGTCTTTTTATAAAAATCTTAAAACAAATCATGTTTTTAATTTCGTTTTTTCTTGATTAGACCCCCCCCCCCCCTTATGTATAACAAAACTATATCATCTTTCCATCCATAATTTACAAGGTGACTCAATCGAATTTCACATCCTGCCAGTTCACTAAGTAGACTCACTCTACCCAGTCTACTCTCCAAGTATACTGCTCGACACTCGCCTGACATTTGCCATTCCTAGTTTAGGCTTGAATAATGTCTGATTTGAACTTACGACTTTTAAGAAATCTCAAGTCACGTGTATGCATCGATACCTTTAATAATAAATTTATTGGACATCAAACCATATAAAATCGAAATAAACATCTCTAAATTATCTAGGAGAGCCTCTACAACTTGGTAAAGATGTGTAGTTGATGTATCATTAAATCACACATAAATTAGAGTTGTTTATGGGTGGGGTGGCCCGTTAAACTTTGTCTTGTCCAGTCTGTTAAAAAAGCGGGTTTGAACTATCATTCTCAAAGAAATGGACAAACCCAGACTAACTTGTTAAAATTAATTGGTGAACATAATTACCTCAATTGATCAATTCACTATTTTCTTATTTGATCATTTTCTTTATCGATGTTTCATATTTTATGAAACAATTTTTTCATAAATTACGTACGTTGTTATGTATTTACATATAATTTAAGATGGAATAAATATTATGTTCTTTTAATTATTTTACGTAGCTTTTTATTTTATCTAAGTTTTGTTTTCTCAAAAAACGTGAAAAGATTTTTAAGCCCAACTGGTTTATAAGGTGAGTAAGGGCAAGTATTCAGCCCGTAAAAGGAGGCATTAATTTATCATATCAAACCCGTTGAACAAGAATAATAGGTTTAGTAGACATGTAAATAATCAGATGTGACATTCAAACCTTATATTCCTAAATCATACGAAAAAGATTCTAATCGCTATTATAATTTTTAGACAACTATCTCTTCAAGTCATTATTTGTTTTGTCTGCGTACCATTTAATTAAACCACAAGGATGATGTCTGATTGATTTGAACTTGAGCTTTAAAAGTTAAAAGTGTCTGGAGGTCTCAGGTTCAAATTTAAAAAGGAATAAAAATCTCTTTATGATCACCGATGTTTAAATGTAGTGACTTCGAACTACCCGTAAAGCAGGGGTCACCCTGGGATTACTCGGCTCGTTTAACCCCATGGTTTTCCCTCTCCCTCAAAAATCCCAAATTTTTCAAACAAAACGTTTTTCTTTTTCTCTCTCTCAGTCGACACACGTACATCTGCTTTCCGTCGTCTCCTTCCATATATCCTACATCGGTAATGTATGGTTAGGTAAAGAGGTGACAATTTTATACCAAATCAAACCAGCCAACATATGTACCGTTAATCTGATTGTTATCAATTATGTTCGGTTGATAGTACCATCCCAAGTATGCAAACTTGGTTGGTACCTGGTATTGTAAGTCTATTAACATTGTACCGTTTTATTTAATTATTTATTATTTTTGTATTTTTTTTATGTATTGAATGTTAAACATTGTAACTTTTATTATTTTGTTTGAACATTTGAATGTTTTCAAGTTTTGTTTCTTGCAACTGTACTCTTTAAACATCACACATGTTACCTGCAAACTTAAAACGCCACTCAAAATTTGAACAAAATGGCAATTTTCATATATATAAATTGGAATTGGTACAAAATTAATATCAACATGTACCAAAAAAAAAGTTGGTATCAAATATAGTTGGTTGGTATATGATATTGAGAAAAAAAATTGGTAGCATATCAAGTCCAGCCCTAACTAAGTATCGTCTCCATGTCTCTTTTAGGGGTTTCTTCTTTCTTTGCTTCGTCTTTTTTTGATTTTAAAATATAGGCCTATTTTTGAATTTATGATGAACGTATTAAAAAATCTCAATATGGATAGAGGTTGATACACCTAGATTGCGTTTGATGTGTGCTTGATGGTTAAGATAGCCATGAAGATGACATCATTTACCATCTTTAACTAATGATTCAAAAAGAGCTCGACATATTAGGGTTTACTCACATGTCAATCTCTACGCGTTTGGTATGCAGGCAAAGAGAAATCAGAGGGAGGAATCGTTTAGAAACATCGATCTGATGAGAGAAATCGATAGCTCAGGAGGAATCGATTTGATGAAGCGATTGGTATGGAGTCCAGTGAGGCGTGTTTAGGTTTAGTCTTTTTCAAGGGTATTTTGGTATAAACGAGGTTGTTGCATCTTGTTCCAGGAAGTGGAGCGTGTCCCATGCTTCTTCTAATTAGTCCATGTTTGTTCCACATCAAGACACACCAAACATGAGACGAATGTATTTTATCGTGTCCTGTCTCACCATGTTCAACATACCAAACGCAAACGATCTCCATTGAGCAACACAAATAACATATACTGGATTTCTTTCGATCAAAGTTTTATTGAACCTTCATTGAGATTCTATCGAACAAAACAATAAGTACAAAATAAATTTGACAGAAACTTACAAAAAAGAAAAAAAAACGTTCAAGTTTTAAAAAAGAAACCATGTGATTTGTTTACTAGAACACAAGTTTTAGCTTCACTTTGAATCTGAATAACAAATGGGGGGATTGATCAATACTCGTTTATGTAAAGAACCTCTGTTTTGAGATCATACTTCAGATTATCGAACTCAAACGCATCAAACAAAATGTCGATTAGTTGCAAGCATGTTACATCCTCTTTTATAGGAACCGATGAACTCTTAAACCTCTAGTAATCACTATCCACTTCCCAAACACCATTGTAAAAAACAAACACATTAAGCACCAACTTTGGATGCAATAGAAATAAATAAATATTTTAAGAAATCAAAAACACTTGTTTTGTATAGAATTCATAATGAATAATGTGACAGATATTTATGATGAATATCGTAACAAATATTTATACTAAATAAGATTTATTATTATTTAAGGTTATCTATCAGGAACAGTATATAAAATAAGTTTTCTAAATATTTAAGGTTTTTAAATGAATATTTTTTGTTCTTAAATAGTAAAAAACATGGAAGCTAAAAATAAGCATATAAAACTAAAAGATGGTGACAAAAATAGGAAGTGATTTAATAATGAGACCTGGTGAGTGATGTGGCCATTATCACTTATCAGTAAAGAAAAAGAGATTCCTTAGTGTAGAAGAGACCAACTCCAACCAAATGTAATTCTGCTTTCACCACTAAATATCTTTCAATAGAAAATATGGCCTTGTAAAATGAAGTGCATGGATGATATTTTCCACAATGGACCACCACCACACCAGCTAACACATGAATAGTGCTTTATATTCATCATCAAGAAAGGAATTCACAATAATGGACTCCAGGCTATACTTAGTCCCGGACCAGACCAGACCATTACATCATCATCAGACAGGACCGTACGAGACCGTGACTGATCCACGCCCATCTTTACCTTTCGCCATTCAAGATTAAGGACTATTTGGTTGGTTTTCCATTAAGTCGTGTGGATATCTTTGTGGATTAATCTATCAGTTTAAAATGGGAAAGTTTTAGTTGGGACAATCCTTTCATCACGTGTTTTTCAATTGGGAGAATTAGGTATGGAAAAACACTTGGTTTTCTCAACAAAGCTTCCCCTAGGAGCTTACTGAATAAGCCACTTTTTGTATCATTAAGCCACTACTAAACAGTCAGTCATATATAGCTGAATAAGTTACGAGTCCTATTAAGCTCATTAAGTTACTAGCAATCATGCCTTTTGGACCCCTCTTGTAAACCCCCTTTTTCATGTCAAATATACAAACCTTTGAGGGATCAAACAATCAAGAACCATCTCTCTTCAAACAGATGATAAAATCAAAAACAAAACACAATCCTGAATAATCGTTTGAACCTCAGAAATCTTAAGATCAAGAACCCAGTGAGATACAAAGATAAAAAAATAAATAAACAGAATTTTGAATAATTTATTTATAACAGATTAGTCTCAGACTCAAAATTTCCTAATATAAAGCGAAGCCGATTATCTTTCCCGGGAGGGAAGCAAGGTAAAAGAATCTCAAGTTGCCTGCCATGGCGATGCCCAGTAATAAGCAGGCAACCCCAAGAATCACATCTCCATTAAACCACAGCTTCCTTCCCCCCCTACTCAGCAGCAAATCAGTATGCCAAGATTCTGAAAGAAAGCCAACTCTACCAACAACCCAAAAAAGAAAGAAAGAAAGAAAGAAAGACTATTTACACTATCACCCCAGAAATCCATCCACCTATGGATCCAGATATCTAAAACAATAGCCAGAAAACATACCAGAGTCGACTATTGTTCGCGAGATGCATCTTTCGACTTCAAAGCTCCAACCTTTACACAGAAACAAAACGTTTTCCCGGTCACCCACTTTCTCTTATGCAATTCCCAGGTAAGAGAAATCTGTATTTGTCCGCGTTCTCTATAAGATGTGCAGGTAGGTGAACAGCCGAATAGGAATGCGGTATGGGTCCCATTTTGCCGATGATTTCTTTAAATGTGTACTCCTCTGGCAGCATATCGAAGAGATCAGCTCCTTTGCATATTACTTTCTGAACTCTGGTAGGGTTCAAGAATTTGTTGAACCTCACTCTATCAACATGGCTGTAAGCTTTCATCTTGAAAATGAACTCACTAATGTGGCGAAAACAAAAGCTACAATGCCATCCCGCATCTGCTAAGATTGTGTCAGATTGGCGATAATGAGCATAAGTTGTCTTCCCTGACTGATATCTATGAACCGATGCCCTCCAACTATTGTTATCCAAAAGAAACTCGAAAGAATACAAGTAATTCTTTAGCCGAAGATGAAGAATTGGAGGTATATCATCACACCATCTTAAAAGATTGATGGTGTGCCTACTTGGAATCTCATCAACATCCGACATGATCAACAAATCGTCATCTTGAATCCCTGCTTTCTTTAAAAGATAATCCAATGCAAGTCTCTGATAAGCCTCTTCGACAAAAGGGTTTTCTCCTTTACGAAATCTCCCGGGAATTTGTCCATACGTTAATCTTGGCTCGACGAATTTGAACTGATCTTGGTGGCTGGCAAAGACCAGGGGTTTAGGCAAGCCGGTAAACGTTGAGTTTGACTCAAGGAGTACAAACTCGGTAACATAAGGGTATAACTCATGCCATCTTATCGTTAGAAGGTCCACTTCATTACTGAACAGCACTGCATCAAACACGCGCCTTGGGAACTCACGTGTTCCCCAACCATGAAGCTTACAGAGATTCTCCATCGACACATTTTCATGATAATAATGTGGAATTTCATGGAAAGGTTTCGGTGGTGACTCCCACAATGGCCGCAAAAAGTAAGAGACTTTCTGTCCATGAACATACAACCCAAGGATGACGGTCGGGACCATTACAAAAAGAAAGACGATGGTTTTCAACTCCAGTCCCCGAAGAATGCACCGTAATCTTGCCATGGTTGAAGACTTCCCCGAGTCCTACAAATCAAAATGTTCATTCTCATTTAGTTTCCAAATAATAATAACAAATAGATGCCAAAGAAAGTGTCTTCACCATGCTGGAAAGAGAAAATGAACAATGTAAAAGAGCATCTAAAGAACATGAACATGAATTACTTGAAGTTGCAAGCTAAAAGTAACACTTTTTTTTCTCCCAAAGTACATGTATTGCTTGAATTATAAGATTCTTTAATTGTAAACTAACTTCTTTTAGAAAACTTTGTTTTCTGAATCTGAAAGTCCTGTTCAGAGAAAAAAAGAGGCATCTTTTTGATTAAGTGATTCTTCAACAAAAACATAGCCAAATAGACTACAGAAGAGTCCTAATTTAAGAAAACTAGGTCACTGATTAGGATATTGAGAAATCTCTTCCCCAATCATCACAAAGAAAGGGGGAAACAACCCTTTTACAATTCCATCTATAACAATTTGAAATCAAAAAATCAAACTCCTGAATTCGTGACTAAAAACGTCACCAACGTTGATTTAGTCAGAAGACAAAACAGAAGACGTAGGAATCAAAAAGGTGATAATATTAAAGCTAAACCTAAGCCCACAATGAAATCAGCAAATCCAGAAACAATAAATCTAAACTCGCAATGCAATCATCAAATACAGGAATGAAATCGAATTGACAAGCAAAGGGCAGGGAATTTGACGAATCGATCAAAAATTACCTCATCGCAAATATCACCACAGATATCATCGGATTTTTTAGAGCAATAACGAGATCCCCCTTCTGCCATGGTATAAACTTTATCGAAAAATTTCGATAAAGTAGACGTCATTCAAATCTGAATCGATAGATCAGCCTCGAATGAATATAAAAAAAGAATGAAGTTATGTTTCTTAAGATCTCAATAAAGAAAGGGAGAGTGAGTAATCTGATAACCCTAGATCGTTGGCCAAGAAATGGGAAGATTTGGTTTATGAATACAAACAAAACCCACCTTAGCAAAGAATCAATGGGGATGAAATGCGGCAAAGATTAGAGCATAGGGGATGTGGAAAAAGCTGTGGTGAGGTGTTGTTTCTCTCTCTAGAAACCCTGCGTGTTGGATGTGTGTGTGTGTGTGTGTGTGTGAGAGAGAGAGAGAGAGAGAAAGAGATATAAAAGAGAAGAAGTTGTTTATTACTTGGGATTTCTGTGTTGATTAACGGGTGGCAGTTGTACAAGAAGCCGTTTTGGTTGTCTACTTCCCCAAGTTTTACAAAAAGATCCAATTTTGTGATTTGACAAAATTGCCCCTTGGCATGAATTTTGTATTTTCGTATACAAAAATACACTCAAACAAGTTTTATGAATAATAGAAGTTAAATTTGTAAATCAGTTTATAAATTATTTAATTATTAAATAAATATATGTGAATCAATATCTTAAATCTTAATATTTGTTTAAAAATATTTGTACATCACTTCTCACGAATTTGTAATATTTTATAGTTTTTATTTAATTTAAATTATATATAGTATGAAAAATAAAATTTATATTTAATTAAGAAATAAGTTAATATTTAGTTTAGAGACATAAGAAATATATAAAACGAGGGGTAGAATGGTCAAAACGGGAATAGAGAAAGAAAGGTAGCCGAGCCGAGTCCCGGAAACGCGTGGTTTCGAGGAGTAAGTTTGCTTGACTGGGTGTAGATATGACCTGTACGTGTTGCGCACAGAGAATTTCAGCCCACATAACGGCAAAATAAATGTTACCCCATGGACCTTCATCTTTAAAATAACTACAGAAACACCCCCTTAACAATCATGGAATGCATTAAAGTCAGCATTCTTGTTTTTTTAAAAGGTCAACCTTTTGGATGATGTCGATGACATGAACTAGTCAAAGGCAAAGTTGATAAACAAACAATGATTGTTGGGTTGTATTCGAATCATACGAGTAACACAAGGTCTTAGCTTTGATTCGTCAACTTAAAATAAGACAATTCGTGTTTTACGAGTTAAAAACCGTCAAATTCAATGCATTGTTGTCATTAACAGCTTATATATCATTAATTGATACTTATGCATTGTTATAAGTACAACTTTAGATTTTTGACAACGGATTGTCCTAAATACAGACCGCTGACTTATATGAATTCCAGTCATTACCAGTGACAAGAATGGTGATATGTTCTGAATTTTGACAATTTTATTTCTTTTAACTCTTGAATTTATGGCTATGACTATTGTAAATAGATATATATCGAACTAGTGTTTGCGTTTCGACAAAGAGTTGACAAAGTCATGTGGGTTCGAATAGGTCCCCCCACCACCTTCCCTTGTAAAAACGTTATCAAAAATACAATTTCAAACAGATCCATCTCATAAAAAATACCCAACAACGTATCTTTAAGAGTTTGATGATAAGACGGTCCCCTCTTCTAGTGTTTGATGATGACATAAAAATGGTTCGCAAGGATCATAAAATAACCTATATAAATTTGCTTCATATTAAGGAGGTTGTCAAAACGATATTTGCATAACCATTATTGGAAGGTTGTCGTCGACGATTAATAAGACAATATTTCAAAATTATAAACTACAGTAAATGGACATTTATCCAAATGCTTACCTGGTAAGCGCTTACCAATAGGGGTTAATACTATAATTTATTTTGATGCGTAAGATTTTAGCACATCAAAACATATCAAATGCGATAATTATACTGGGTAAGAGTCGTCATCATCACTTACCGGGTAAGACTCTCCATTTAGCTTATCGCTCTTACCCGGTAAGATTATCGGCCTTTCTCATATTCATCCAATGAGACAATTTATACGTTAAGCACTTACCAAGTAAGTGTTTAGTAAATGATCCTTAAGATGAACAAGGATATCATGAACTATTACATATGAAATGAAAAATTGTTGTCTTTTAAACATGAAACGGTCCATAAAAATATCATTTATAACTAAAACAAGTAAAGCTCGTGTTATTCATAACGATATTTAGATTATTTATAAAGTTATACTATCTTATAGTATGATATAATACATATGATATTATGATTTTTACGACTTACAAAACAAAAAATATAAAATAAAAAAACAATAAAACAAGATATTTCATATAAATACAAAACCTAATACCAACAAGAAAAAAAGAATAAAAAAATACAAGAAGAATATTCTAAAAATATTAAGCATTATTTCAGAACTTCTAAAAAGAACTTTTTTAAAGTATATATATAATATTTATATACGACAAATGTAACAAATAAACTTACACATCCTCTTTATCTTTAGTGAGGTTTGAACATCTGACCTCTTAAGAGGCCAAATATTACAATACTGTTAGTTCTTATTCATCTATGCATACATATAAAATCTTCTTTAAGAAAATTTCATCTTCTTATTTCAAATTTTAATAAGATTTTAGAGTATTTAAAAATAAAACATATTAAATAAAAAAGATATTTATATTGTATATAAAACTAAATAATTTGGATGAGAATAGAATCTTATTTTGATGAGTGTATATATAATTATTTGTGGCCATAGTTCACTATATATTAAAATGCGAATATTTAGGGTAAGATTCTGCAACTTTGTAAAAGATGAGGGGGCACGTGGAATACTCGAATGACTTATATTTCGTCCCACTAGTCCACGCACGCTGCATTGCTTCTAAAAGACCAAGCTTCTTACTTTATCCAAATTAATTTTTTTTATTAACCCAGATATCCAACTCGTTATGTGAGTCGACTAATCTCAGGTCGACTATTTATTTTGTAGATAGTTTAGAATTACCGTATTTGAACCTCCATGACTACTAGGAGATTTTTATTTCTCTTTGGATTTGAACATTTGATCTCCTGCTATTTTTGACATTTGGAGTCAAGCTCAAATCAATCAGACACCACCCTTGTGGTTATGATCTTAAATCAGTTTGGTAATTTTTCTTAAATATAAGCCAATCAGACACCGGTTGAAGTTATTGGTGATCAACTTTTTTTTACCAAAATATACTAATTATACTGTTAATTAGTTATCTAATAAGAGTTGATTAAATTATATATAGTCCATTAAAAGTAAATTTATTTTTAAAAACAGAAAAAAGAAAGTGTTTAGAATATAATATAATATAATAATTACAACTTTACTAAAATTAAATAATACAACTAAGAAAATAAAAATAAATAAAGCCGAAGATGATCCCACTCCAGAATAAAAAGAGCATCACGCACATGGTCTCGCCAAACCCATTCCCCATTTTCTCTATTTCTTCATTTATTCCCCCATTTTTTTGTGAACCAAATTTTTCTTATTTAAATAAAAAAACATATAATCAAATAATTCATATTTTTATAGAAAACGACGAGTATGTATTTCTAAAATTAAAATTAGAAAGTGTAACGGGTTATCGACTCATCGCATACGGTTTCCAAATTCCTTGTCTTAATCCGCTCGGTTTCTTTGAATGATTTTTTTCTAAATATAAAGAGAGAATCCAACTAAATATGCATTTGATATTTCTAGGGTAGAAATATTGAATGAAAGCGATTTCAATCGGTGCTATATGGAACCTGCGTCCAAAACAACAATGTGAGGGGATATTTTTTGGTTCATTCGACGGCTAAGACTGGTGGGGGATTTGGGATCGAACCCAAGACCTATCTTTATTTGAGCAAAGTCACTGCCGATTGAGCTACATTTCAAAAGCAAATATACAACTAAATCGTACTTGAAAAAGATTCGTGATTTGTGTTCAATATTGGTTTTAGATCGATGAGATGGAATTTCGAATTTGGTTGGTTCATTTCTTATTCAAAACATATGATACGTGTATGTTTTGGTTTTAAAATCCCAAATAAATTAAACGAGAAACCGATAATAAAATTAGGATATAAATTCAAGACTAACCTATAATTAATAATGTTTATTGTCAAAACGAATGATCATGTGACCTTTTTTAATCTCAACCCCTCCCCCAATGAATTGCACTTATCGAGGAATTGATTCAGTGCATCTCGGTGTACCACATTAATGTTGATTTTCAGTTATAGTTGATCCAAGGACGAAGATCTCTTTTTACCCTTCTCAATATAATTTTCATTATTACCAAAACCCAACCGTAATTTCTATCCTTGTTGTAAATATATGTTTTGTGTTCATTAACTTTTCTATATCTTATTAAGCGAAGGATCGTGTGAGAATGGGAAATCATGATGAGAAGTGTAAGAAGATATTTAAACCCTTGATCACTTTTAATATCATGCCCATCCATGAATCGTGCTTTAGAAGGTAATTGATCTGGGGCATCTCGATACACCTCATTAGTGTTGACAATCAATTATGATTGATCCAATGGTGGAGATCTCTTCTTACGTTTCTCATTATAATTTACTTTCTTACCGGAATCCAATCCTATCTTATTATCTATTAAAGATTTATATAATTAAGATTAGGTGGGGGGAATAATGCATGAGGCGGTGATTAGGAGCTTTAGATGTTGTCGAGTTAAATCACAAGTTGTTTGGGAAATGAGATCGGTAAGAGAATACAATGTTTGAGTCCGGTTCGTTTTAACAATATTGAATTACATATTATACTTTAGAATTCAAGCTTATAAGCACATTTATTGCTTGAACTTGAACTCGAACTCGAACTCAATCAACTATTGAGTTCCACATTATACTTTAGAATTCAAGCTTATAAGCACATTTATTGCTTGAACTTGAACTCGAACTCGAACTCAATCAACTATTGAGTTCCACATTATACTTTAGAATTCAAGCCAAAGTGCTAACACCAACTTGTTTTATATTTTGATTGGATGATTTATACAGATTAATATTTTGGTATACATATTCTCTTTTATTTTACTCCTTTCAAACAAATTGTGGAACATATTAACATGTTAAAAACACACACACACACATATATATATATATATATATTTATTTATTTATTTATGGACAAGTTCTTTTATTAACCCAATAATTGATGTTAACTTTGTGAATCAATCTTGACTCTTGATTCTTAAAATATATGGATGAGATCAATTGTGGCATATATGTAATTAATTAAAAATGAAGGATATCAAAACATATGTGAACAGGGGTATTTTTGGGAGAGA